TGGCTATTTTTTTCCATTTTTCTTCATTGCATATGAGGAAAGTATACTTCCAGATCTATTCTATGCTAGGTGTCTAAGCTAACCATGAAGTTAATCTGAGTTTTGATATTCAGTACTAATAATGTCTAGTAAACCCTCTCTTCATTTGCTATACATGTATATCCCCCAGTATCCTATAGTGCTGTTTTACATTATTTGTGCGTCTTTTTATTGTGTGAAATAAAACAGATGCTTAGCAGTCATAAGAGAAGTCTTGTTGCAAGGCATAATATTGTTTCAAACCTTACATGTAGAGAAAACAATCACAAGACATAAAGTTAACATGAAAAAAGTCAAGAATCCTTTGGAGTGAAATATTACTTAAAATATATTTTATTAACTAGACTGGCTATTCTAGGACTTTATCGTTGTCTTTCTGTATTAACTGAGGACATTTTATACCTTGGAGCACCAAGAAAATCTAGATTTGACAGCAGAATTGCCAGTGTCCTGTGTTTAGATTTCTAAAAGTTAAAGATTTACTAATTTTAGCAGAATTAGATGTAAAAAGATGTTCAAAATGCATATAATACACTGAAACACTGAAATAATTATCCATGATAGTCATGCTTTCTTTGATTAATACAATCACGGCCTTGGTTTCTTTATTCTAGTCTATTTTTGGATGAAAGCCAAAGGCTAAGAACAGATTTCCTGAAATATCTAAAGAGGCACTAGCCCTCTTGAAAGAAGTTAAAGCATCACTTCTGATACTTCTCATATTGAAGCAGACCTCCCTGGAAATAAGAATCGCAAGTATATATGTTTTACTTTCCATCTTGCATACCGTTTTGTGTTTTTCATTGCATTTTGTTATAGTACTTTTGTTATAGTACTATTTTTTTTCTTACTTTTTTTTTTTTTTGAGTGATTGCACTGTATACATAGTAATCTTTGAACCACCAGTTAAGTAGTAGCTCTGTAGTACAGGCTGTTACTACTCCTCCAAATGTTTACCTAAGGAAGACAGAACATGATAGAAGAGACTATAAATTAATTTTTGCATTTAGGAAGACGGTAAGCACTCGCCTGTGATTTTTGTAAAGATCCTAAGGCTAATATTTTAATGAAAATGTCTCAAAATACTTTTTCAAGGGTGTTATGGCTAGGTTATTGATTTCAATGTCAACATTGCAAAGTTGTCTGTGAAGAAAAAAAAAATAATAAATAAGAGCTTCCAACATTCATTTGCAAATGGCCAGAATATATTTTCCGTGCACAACTGACAGTTTTTTTTACTCTTCCTCCATTATCTTACTTCATTTTAGGGCACATTTTCTGATGAGGAAGATTTTCCCTCCTGTGACAATAAAGAAAATATATTGTTTCATGTGTCATAGCATATATCATACCACTTGTCTTAGTGTTTCCTGGCCAGGTCTTCCCTCAGGCCTCCCAGGTCCCTGAGCTAGCAGCAGAAGCTGTGGGAGTGAAGCATCACCACAGTAGAGGAAAGCAAATCAGACATATATACAAGTCCAAGGAACCACATGCGAGGGTGCTGAGAAACTTGGTCAATGGCATAATTGTCTCATCTTTGACAGGTCATGGGAGTAAGGGGAGGTCCCAGATGATTTGGAAAAAGTAAATATATCCATCATCAAGAAAGGCAGGAAGAAGGATCCAGGGAACTGCAGGCTGGTCAGTGCTGGGAAAGTCATGGAAATTACCTTCTACCTGGAAACCATTTATAGGTACATAAAGGACAAGAAGGTGATCGGGAACAGGAAGCATAGATTTGCCAAAGGCAAATGGCATCTTGCCTTGTATGATAAGATGACATGCTTCATGGATGAGCGGGGAGCAGTGGGGATGCTGCTTACATTGTCTGCAAGATCTTCCATTTATCACTATTGAGAAACTGGTGAAATATATTATAAAGGGGACACAAAATTTCTGGACTCACATCCCCAGAGATTTGTGACCAAATGACACAAAATCCAACTGGCATCTTATTACAAGTGCTGCTTCTTAGGTGTTCATAGGAGTTGATACAGAGACTGATATTTCATTATGTATTTATTAATGACCTTGATGACGGCATAGGGTGCACCCTCAGCAAATTTGTGGTCTATATGAAATTGAATAGAGTGATCAATATGTTGGAGGCAGAGTTCCTAGGTCTGAGCGATCTTGACAGGCTGGAAAAATGGGCTGACAGAAACCTCCAGAAGAAAAGAGATATAAAGCATGTGCTATGGGCTGACTGGGGATAAGGCAGTTTTGAAGACAAGAGCTTTTTCGGAGTTCAATGGAGGCCTACAAAGATGGTCACACACAGCATGGACTGGCTGAAAGAGCTGTGTCTGTTCAGATCGGCCTACAAAGATGGTCACACACAGCATACGAGGACTGGCTGAAAGAGCTATGTCTGTTCAGATTCAAGGAAAGGCTCAGGGAAACTTTATCGCTCTCTACAACCACTGAATGGGAGGGGAGAAGATGGAGCAAGATTCTTCTTGGAGATACAAGGCAAGGTGAGGCAAGAGGGAATAGCTACGATTCCCAAGAAGGGAAATTCCAACTTGGTATTAAGAAAGAAAAATAACAATGAGAGAGCAGGAGGTTGGGCTAGATGTTTTCCAGCAGGCCCAACCTATATTATTCTGCTATTCTCTGAATAACTTTAACCAGTTGTCATAGGTGGAATCACATTTCGTTTCTGAAGGCGATGCAACACATCTAAAATATATGTGGTAAAATTTTTCCGTCAAAGAACGTACAGAACAGATGACTCATATACCATAAAAGTTTATTAGCACATTTGGGTGTCTGCAATCCTTCTTACTTCCATCATTTTTGAGTAAAAATCCTGATAATGCTGACAATATATGATATAATGTAGAAGGATTATATCATCAGGTATCCAGGTGATCTTTAAAACATCTTTTTTCTGGTCCTTCTAATGAGAAATACTATATTATTAATATATAATTTTATGCATGATTTCTACATGAAAATAATGGGCCCTAAGTTAAAACAAATTAGTTTAAAATCATTTGGTAAATTGTTTCCTCAATTACCCTTGGAATGTTTTATAATGAAAGAACGGGTTAAATAAGTTAGTTAAAATTATACAAATCTTCTGCTAATATAAGCATATTAGCATATATTAGCACAAGGCTAATTTTCCTACACTGATAATTAATGTTACCACTGGGACAGAGACCCTGTATATATATGAGATGTATAACTGCGTATATGTCAAAATTTTTAAATAAGCTGATTACTGATTCTAATCTGTTAACTAGAAAAATTAGAAAATATAATTTTAAGAAATGTGGGTGGAAACACTACATTTAGCTCCATTCTGCTTTTGCATGGTATGCTTCAGTCTGAGAGGCTGCATAGTAGAATAAAACCTTCGCAAAAGAGTGTATCCCAAAAGCATATTACTGCTGCATAATCAGAATCAATTTAAAGATTAATTCTCATGATTTCTTATATTTATCCAACAAAAGGTCTAAAAATATAAAGCATGAGAACTCCCTATTTTTTATAGTTTTATCAGTCTTTATAATATTGAATAAAAGATCAAATATCAAAAAATAAGCCCTATTAATCCTCATAATAATATTTTAATAAAATAACAATTTTAATAATATAGGAATTTGTAAGCCATAATGGCATCCAAAACCTTATAAAAGTGAACTGACAGCAGCAAGAAGTCACTATATCCTTTTTTAAACTTCCTTTAAGTGAGATTTCATGCTGAATAGCTAAATAGAACACATTCGCTTACACCTAAAAACAAAATGTAAGTTCAGATTTATCACTTCTTAAAGTTACTTAAATTTATTTAACCTTGAACGTGATAGTTAAATCCTTCAAAAGTCATAATCTACACTTTCATAGCTTTATTAGCAATGAAAAATAAATATTACTATGAAACTGCAACTACCCTATTCATAAATCTGCTTTTTTTTTCTTTTTTATAATAACAGCTTCTTAAACATATACTTACTGAGTATATTTCTGAAAAAGAAAAGTTAAATGTATTACCACTAGACCACTGTGCTAGTTCTATGCAGTGCAGGTCAGCTGTGTATTGCATAGCTCCAGATGCTGTGATGTGCAAGACATCTTACCCAGCCATATGAGACCCAGACACAATTCAGCTGTAGCGCTGAGCCCAAACAGATGATCCAAGACAGACCCCACAGAGATCTAAAGTTGCAGGTGAGCTGCAGACGCAGCATCTTTTGAATATATTGTTTCTAGACTTAACATGCATTACTGACTACATATAAGGCAATGCTCTAGGGGATGCCTCAAAGTCATATTCAGTTATAGTCACACTAAGTAGTCTTTACAGCACTCAACACATGGAAAACGCAGCGCAAAGAGCCCCTCAGTCGCACAGCTGGGTGCAGTTAACAACATCAGTGTTTCTCATCTAGATTCTGCAAGCCATCTGTTACTGCTGCTAATGAAGGACTCTGCTCATTTTAGGTTACTATGCTCTTATAGGAAATGATGCGCTTCTGTAGCAAGTTCTGAAAAATCTCTGAAATTTAGGAGGTTTTCCTCTAATAACAAAATTCCTATAATTTGTAAAAATTTTGAAGAGGGAAGTTATGACGTCGGGAACGCTATCTCATTCTGCCTTTTTACTCTCAGTTTGTGGATAAGATATTGAAATTTGAAATACCTATATTTTGCCAACAATAACTTGCTTAAAAAAGAAACATAGATCAGAGACAATGCATCCCATGGTCTCATGTTAAGTAAGAGAAGTGTTTCTTCTAGTAGAGGTGAGACTTACATGAAACTGTTTTGCGACAGCCAGTACTATTGGCTACAAATGATAGCTATAGTGACATATTCCCAAAAGGAAATTAACAATGCTATTGCTCTGTTGCATCACGAGGCACACTAAATCAACTGCAAGAGTATATCTTGTATTTATCAGTCTTTATAATATGCAAGAGAATATCTTGTAAACTTTTTCCATACTGTACCTTTTCATCCAGAGCCTTGTGGTGCTCAAATAGAGATTTCAAAGCTTTGAGGACCTCAACTTCACTGGAAACCCCTGAGGGAGACTGTGCTTGCCGCTTCACCACTGTCATCCTCAGTGACCTTTCGTGTCTTGAGACAAGGCACTCCAAATGTTCCAGTAACAGCTATTGGATTTAATATAGATGGTTATTAATTTCAGTGCACCTAAATACCGTAGACAACCTAACTACAAAGTAAAAGTACCAAATGACAATGCTCTTGGCAACCTTGCTATGGAAGAGATTGCTGGAATTGCTGCTAACAAATCATGATTCTAAATCAGATGGAATACGTAGAAAAATAGGCAATAAACTCATCATTTCATTTGAAACTCTGCTATAAACAGTGAGCACAACAACAACAAAAAACATTCAGTACAGAGTCACTATTTAACTAAATTAAATGCATGTGTACTACATTATTTGTCATAGTAATTGATTAGCATTAACAGCTAAATAACAAACAAAACCAGTCTAAAAGATTATGTAAAAATGCTAAAGTAGATTATAATTTATTCTGCCTACCTGTAATATATTTTTAATTTATACTGAAAGATACTTAACATTGGATGTAAAAATAAACAGAAAATTTAATTAAAATTTTAAAGTAGTATGTATTCTAAATGCCATGGCTAATGGTGTTTTTCACTGGCATGTACTCTAATGCCTCTGTTGTATTACAAAGAAGACGGAAGTCAAAAAGGTCCATAAGTAGCATATTTAAGACAATTATAAGTAACATTTTATATGTGATAATTATTTTTCATTATTACTCTAGGTGTCTTAAGAAAATACTGAAAGAATATATTAGAAAATATACCATTTATCTATACTTTTATATGTCCATCATTGCTGTTCTTAGTGTCTGAACATACATGAGCATTGGCTGGCTGTAAGGCTAAAGTAGAATAGAGTAGCTAAAATCATGAATCACAGAGCATGACAAATGTATTGTAATAACAATTATATTTGAATCATTGAATTGGAAATTTGAAGGTTACATAGGTAATTATTTATGATTGCTTGATATGGTTCTTAATATAGATATTATAAGAAAAGACATATATCTATCTTTAACAAATAGTTATTCTATAACAATATTTGTTGATACATGAAATAAAAATCATGGAAGAGCAAACCCAGACTGTAATAGCACTGTAATTGCAATACACAGCTATTACACTAGGAGTAACTTGGGCATAAGGTTATCTATACTTCAGTCATGGTTCCTGTATCTGGACTTGCACCTGATTATTAGTTTACAATAATTCTATTATTAAAAAAAAATAAACAGTGAACATCTATGCAACAACTGTTAATACATTAAGAATTGTAATGAGCCCATGCAGCTAAAGAAAGGAAGAATGTATTTTTGTCAGTTTTGAATTCAAGTGATAGCTCAAATTTATCAAGAGCAAATGAGCATGAAGACACATGAGCTTTTCTATCTGTTCCCTGTAGGATTGAAGGCAGATGTTGAAAGAATTTTAATAATTTGGGGCAGGCTAAATCAATAGGCAGGTTTGAAGTGGAATGTTCATGATAGAAGCATCTGGAATTTCTGAATTAGGGTCTACATTCATTCACCTCATTGTCTTTTCTAGCCCACAGAGAAAAACATATTTAAAAGTCTGCATATATTTCCCAGTAGATATTAAATAAATCTTCAAGTATAAAAGAAAGATGATCGGAAAAAAGAAAGATGAGCTAACATCACAGCAAAGTGTTGAGGTGCTCATGGAGAATTACTGCATTACTTCTTAACATGCCATGCTTTTTCTTATTGTTCCTATTCACCCACACTGCTTGGATAATGCTTGTTCATTTCTCTGGAAATTACCTCTGAAGACCAGATTCTTCCTTTATCATCAATGCTAGGATTGCTCAAGAGGGCATGATGACAGAGTTTTCGGTCTAATAGCAATGCTTTCTTTTTGCCTTTGAACAAAAGTCAACTCTTTTTAAAATCTGAGATGCCAGTTGGGAAAGCCATGCTAACTGGCCAAGCACTCCCAGTGCTACGTTATTCCTTGCTGTGCTGAGAGGGAAGAATAATACATGTGTTTGAACACTCCACTTGGACTGAGCACCTGACGTCAAATCCTTGGTCCCTACTCTACAGAAATGTTACTATTATTTTACCTTTCTTTATCTCAATTATAGTTGTATTAAAAAAGGGAAATAGATCACCCCTGCATGCCTGGGAATGACAAATCTAACTACACTTACAGAACTGTGTTCAGCTACCACAATGTTGGGAAGGGATATAAAAATACATAAAATTGAAGATACTGCTGTGTCCAAGCAACATTTAAGTTAAACACCGGAAAGAAATCACAATTTCTGCCTCATGAACATGTTGAGGACTTTCTCCTTCCTGAATTACTAGCCCAGATATTTTTGAGAAGATCACCACAAGATGTCCTATCAAAATGACAATATCAAAATGAATGTAGAAATGTTAGTATTTGATTTATATTACAAACATTTGTTAGGAAAAGCGTTAGGTATTTCTGCATGCTGCAGTTAAAGATTGGCTTTAGCAAACAGCATGGGCTGCTGACCGTTTTCCAGTTCCTCGCACTGTGTTAAACTGCTCCAGACATAGAACACTCGCGGGGCCAGGCAATGTTTCTATGTTTCTGTGTTTCAACTTCACTAATTTACATTAATAAATGAAGGACTTTCTCTTTACAGAATTTCAGGACAGGGTTCTTTTTATGAGTCTGCTCTTTTCAGACTATAAGAACTCATATCATCATGTTAAATAAAGAAAACAGAGAGCCTTATTTAGTTTCAACAACTCTAAAAATTATGTAATCAAAAGGATCCCTAAGAAAATGAGCTAAAAAGGCATAGAAACTATAATTTCAAATATATTTTTTGAGTTTTCTAATAGAATAAAATGGTAATTTAGTCATAACATTTAAGTATAAAATTATGGTGTATGAATGTAATGAAACGGCACAGCCTAATTGAAAAAGTTCCACAGACCATTAATTAATGAAATGAAACAATAAAAGGGGAATAAAATTGAATCTATGTCAGCTACATTCCCTGTAAGTGCTTCAGCTATTGTGGAATTGAGTAAAAGAAAAATGCCGACATGTTTTTATTATTGCTATTTGATTCATGAACATTGGGTTTCGTCTTTCCTGTTTCCAACAATGCCTGAAGTAGAATATTTCAGAGCCGTTTAAAGTAACATTTTAAGCTATACACAAGATGTATACAGAGGTAGTCTTTTTTTTTTTTTGTTGCAAAACAAACCAAGCAAACTAACAAATTATCTACACAAGCATTTTGAACTTGTGAGGTATCAAGTAGGTAGACAGGCAGCTTCGCCTCCCTGTAGGAATTCATGTCATACCTTCTGCTTTAGATTTCTAAGGTCTATGGCACCTTGACTTTCTATCTGGGCAGATGGAAGGAGAGGCAGATCTTTCAGATCTTCCATCATGTACTTTGTTAGATTTTCTTCAGAAAGCAGATTAGCTAACTGCAGAATGATCTTATTTAAGCAATTTGAAGTTGCTATGAGTTTAGTGGGAGAAGGAAAACAGGAAGAATTACCCAGACCATTGAAAAAAAAGGAAATATGCATATGAGAATACACCCTTGGTGATCAACCTCTCTGAGATCTATTCTTACGTCCATCTCCAGACCAACGCTTATCTGAACTGGGGCCACTTCAAATGTATTTTTTACCCTTTTCCACAGTCCATAATGCCTCCTCTGTTCTCTTTTATTTCTTGGTCACTCCTGCCTTTGCCCAGGCACCTCTACATGTAACTTATTTTATTCTGTAAACTATTCTGCCACAAAATTTTCAAAAGGCATCATCACAGATTCTTGTTGCCAAACACAATAACATCTTTTGATCGAAGTAGAACATAGCAAATTTAAAGAAGAAATCTTGTCCTCTCTCAGTTCAAAGGCAAATAATATTGACTTCAGGGATCACAATGGCTGCACCTAGACTAACCAGCGGACTCACTAGAATTCACCCTGGACACCTCATTCAGATCATAAGCAAGGAAGAGGGGTTGTTCGTAACCTGGCTTCTGACTTGACAAGAGAGGAAAATATGTGCAGGTTCTTTATGCAAAACCTAGAGTGCTAGAAGGCTTCATTAGATGCTTGTTTTAGAAACCACTTAAACTGAATGTATTTACCGGTTTACATATCAAATCTGCTACTTTAACTGCTAATACATCTTGCAAAAATTACTACTCACTTTATTCCTTAAGAATATAGTATGGTAAACACATGTTAGGACTTAGACCTTACAAGTCTGTTGTACTTACTGAAAGCCTGGGATTTTGTCATTGTCTTTACATTGTATTTACTCAAAAGAAGTCCTAAATATAGAGATATAAGTGTATTCCTTCTGCTTTATACATACATGATATCCATAAAAGTTCTTCTATATACTTACTCTTGTGTTGTTTCTTTCAGCTTTCAGTTCTGAAATCTCTTCCTCTTTTTCAAGTAGCTGTTCCCTACATGCATTTAATTCTTTTGTCAGTGCAGCAAATTCCTAAGAAAAAAGATTAGATATGAAGTCAGGACATAAGCACTACAATAATTGGGTCTATATGCATTCTAGAGGGTTTAAAGTGTTAAAGGGTCTTAAAATCATAACACAAGCTAAAATAGCAAATATAAATACGTGCAACTATCAGAACATTCAAAAATATGCATGTGTATTGAAACGTGTATTGAAATATGTAAGGAAAAGTACCTATGAAAAACTCTGACCTATATTTATAAAGTAAACAAGGTTCAAGGCTTTAACCATAAATTTCCAGGATGAATTGCATCATGAAGAATATCAGGTTTTGCCTAGTTCATAGCAACAGAGACACCAGAATCACAGAATGGTTAAGGTTGGAAGGGATCTCTAGACATCATCTAGTCTAACCTCCCTGCACAAGCAGGGACACCTAGAACATGTGGAACAGGGTGGCATCCAGGCAATGCTGAAAGATCTCCAGAGAAGAAGACTCCACAAACTCTCTGGGCAGCCCCTCTCCAGTGCTTGGTTACCCTCACAGGAAAGAAGTTCTTCCTAATATGTAGATTAAACTTCCTATGTTTCAACTTACACCCGTTTCCCCTTGTCCTGTCACCAATCACCACGGAGAAGAGCCTGGCCCCATCCTCCCTACAATCACCCCTCAAGTACATGTTGATCAAATCTCCTCTCAGTCTTCTCTTCGTGAGGCTAAGCAGGCCCAGCATGCTTAGTCTGTCCTCATAAGATAGATGCTCCAGTCCCTTAACCATCTTCGTGGCCCTACGCTGGACCCTCTTTATTGGAAGCCCAATAGCCTTCCCCTGGTGGGGGGCCCAGAACTGCATCCAATGCTCCAGGTGCGGCCTCACCAGAGCTGAGCAGAGGGGCAGGATCCCCTCCCTCCACCTGCTGGCAACGCTCCTCCTGATGCAGGCCAGGATCCCATTGGCATTCTTGGCCAAGGGGGCACACTGCTGACTCGTGTTTAATCTGTTGTCAAACAGGACTCCCAAATCCCTCTCCGTGGAGCTGCTTTCCGGCAGGTCACCGCCTAAACTGTACTGGTGCCTGGGATTATTCCTCACCAGGTGCAGGACCCTGCACTTGTCCTTGTTGAACCTCATGAGGTTCCTCTCTGCCCACCTCTCCATCCTGTCTAGGTCTCTCTGAATGGCAGCACAGCCCTCTGGAGTGTCAGCCACTCCTCCCAGTTTGGTGTCATCTGCAAACTTGCTGAGGGTGCACTCTGTCCCATCCTCCAAGTCATTGATGAACAAGTTGAAGAGCAACCAGGCCCAGTACTGACCCCTGCAGAATACCTCTGGCCACAGGCCTCCAACTAGATTCAGCCCCATTTATCACCACCCACTGGGCTCTGCCATTCAGCCAGTCCTCAATCCACCTTACTGGTCGCTCGTCCAGTCCACACTTCCTAAGCTTTCCTATGAGGATGTTATGGACCGTATCAAAAGCCTTGCTGAAGTCAAGGTAGACAACATCCACAGCTCTCCCATTGTCCACCCAGCCAGTCACCTCATCATAGAAGGCTAGCAGGTTCGTCAAACATGACTTTTCCTTCATGAATCCACACTGACTACCCCTGATTACCTTCTTTTCCTTGACATACCTAGAGACGGTCTCTATGATGAACTGCTCCACCACCTTTCCAGAGACAGAGGTGAGGCTGACCGGCCTGTAGTTTCCTGGGTCCTCCCTCTTGCCCTTTTTGAAGATTGCAGTGACACTGGTTTCTTCCAGTCCTCTGGTACCTCCCCCACTCTTCATGACCTCTCAAAGATGATGGAGAGTGGCTGAGCAATAACCCCTGTCAGTTCCCTCAACACTCATGGGTGCATCCCATCTGGGCCCATAGATTTATGAGTGTCCAGTCTGCCTAAAAAGTCCCTAACTCAATCCTCCTAGACCAACGGAAAGTCCTCCTCTCTCCTGGTTCTCTCACTTGTCTCTGGGCTCCGTAGTTCATGGGAACTAGCCTTAGTAGTAAAGACAGAAGCAAAGAAGGCATTTAGTAACTCTGCCTTCTCTGCATCCTCCACCAGCAAGGCACCCTTGCCATTCAGCAGCAGACCAGCATTTTCCCTAGTCTTCCTTTTGCTGTTGATGTGTTTGTAGAAGCCCTTCCTGTTGCCTCTGACATCTCTTGCTAACTCTAATTCCAAACCAGCATTTTCCCTAGTCTTCCTTTTGCTGTTGATGTGTTTGTAGAAGCCCTTCCTGTTGCCTCTGACATCTCTTGCTAACTCTAATTCCAAACGGGCCTTGACCTTCCTCGTTGCATCCTGCATTCTCTGACAATGTTCCTATATCTTCCCATGTGGTCTGGCCCTTCTTTCACCTTACATACATGCTCTTTTTCTCATAAAGTTTACCCTACAGCTCCTTGCCCATGCACGCAGGTCTCCTGTCCTGCCTTGCTCAACTTCTTTTTTATAAAAATGCATCGATCCTGCGCTTGGAGAAAGTGGTGTTTGAATATTGTCCAGTCCTCCTGGACCATCTTTTACGGTGGTAATGAAATTCTATTGTTAATCTCAGTGGATTTCATTTTATAGATTAGCTATTGATACATGAGCCATCTAATGATGTTCTGTGCAATACCTCCTAGTCAGTCATTTCATTTTACAGCCCCAAAATCAAGAATTTGCAAGACTACATAGCATACTCCAATATTTCTCCTCAATTTCTTGAAGCTATACATAATTTTTAAAAATCTCTTCTCACTTTTCAAAAGTATTAGCAAACCATGATTCAGAAACTCTCAATAGTATTATTCTGCTTGGAATTTCATTTATAAAACTCCTGTACTTTAGCCTATAAATAATGTTGCATACCAAATTGAAATATAGTATTTAATAGTACCTCAACAATCTCTGGTCAGCTTGGATGAGACCTTTAAAACAGGAAAACACATGCACATATATTCTTTCTTTGTATCTCCCTGAAGATAGAGTTTATAGATCTTCACGGTAGTTCAGCACTACAGTTTACAGGGGTTTATAGTGCTTTCAAAATCTCATAAAATAAACTTTCCAGATAATAAAACTAGTATTTTATTATAGCATTTATTATTTTCTTTTTCTCCATATAATTTTTTCAGTTGGCTATAAAGAGACTTTTAATATATGATTGGCCATCCATGTGAGAGACACTTGGTGAGGACAACAAGTATCATCTGGTGACTTATGTTTCCTGTTCCTAACTGCAGCAAGATAAAAGCAGTCTGGTAACATGCTTTTGTTGGTTTGTCTGGAAATGGAGAAAGCCATAAGTTTCTCAAATTGTATATTCCTTGGAGTGCCAAGGCAAGCTCGTTGCTGCAATACAGTTCCCAGTGCTTTAGTCAATATTTTCTCAAATAACTAATAGAAACTTGTTGAACAGCATAGAACTTATTCTTAGAGAATTTTTCTTTGCTCATCAGCTTAATTTTTCCCTTGCTTGTTAATAAATCATTACTCAGTAATCTGCACCTAGAAGATCCCCTGCACTATCCGCTCTGCCTCTAAATATCTCAGGCTCATATTCATAGCAACCATTAGTCTCCAGTTGGCTGAGCTAAATGTGCCCTGTATCTTGGACCTCTCTACATGATTTACTGACTTAGAACCTCCAAGACTTTTAATTAATCACTTGCTGCTTTGCTCTGAAATCTTCCTGTGTGGCTGACACTTGTGCAGTCCTGGCAGTCACCTCTTCCTGTTCTGGAGCTTAGGTGACCAAATCATTCTTTTCATCTGAAGTAGTAGAGAAGGCCCCATTGTCAGGAGACTTCTTTGGATGGAAAGGTGACAAAGGGAGATTTTTTTTCTTGGTGTATATACCCTAAGCCTCCACAGAGAAAGTCTCAGAGTATAACTGAATTTCCCCTGGAGTTTTACAACTGATTATGTGTGTCATGTCTACTTTGACGAATTAGTAACAGATTCACAACTTGCTTTGCAATTCATGCTTTCAAAAACTACAGGTAAGACTCATTTTAAATACACCCTTTCAGCCTAAGATAGCCCTGAAATACAACTGTGTAATGCTCCAAAGAGCATGTTGCTCCCAGAGGCTGGAAGCAAAGCAAAACATACTTCTGTTTTACCCAGTTAGGTAATAACATGTGATGATAATGACCTCTGCTCTTGCAAATGCCTCCTATATCTACAGGAAACAAGGGAATACTGTCAGCTGGAATTACTGTTTGCAGCAGAAATCTTGCATGGTCAGTCATACTTTAGGAGCCCCGAAGGTAGTATCTGATGCATGACTAACATGATTTGACAGGCACAACTGTACTCTTAAAGCTTATTTAGAAGTTGTTTGGCTATAAAGCCAATTAAGAAATGTGTAGGCATTAAAATGTATGAAAATTGATAGACTATTTTTATACTATACTGTGATACCAGTACACTAACAATTTTTTTCATGATCAATGACACAAGAACGAACATTTTTTTTACCATTTGAAACAACACGGTCTGGGAGCCTATCTTATCTGCCTTTTCTTGTCTTAATGCTTGGGATGTAACACTCAGTCTGACTGAAAAACAGCTGACTCAGAGTCACAGTTCTTCCCTTACCTTGGGTGAATAGGAAGAGGTGGCAGAAGCTTTAAAAATAAGCAGAGCAAGCAGAAAGGAGTGCCTGGCCTCACAAACACTAAGATGTCCCTGGTGAACAAGCTAGGTAGAGTTGGAGAAGGGTGGAAGGCCACTGACAGCTGAGACTGTGCAGGGGAGGGACACCACAGCTCTGCTCCCTTAAATCTCTGCCTCAAGAAGCATAAAGTTCATTTTCAGAGACATTTTAAAACACTTTGAGAGACATTTTTCTTCTCTCAGAGGAATTTTGAATCTTCTCCTCTGCATTTTCTTCTTTGAATGACAGTTCACTTCAGAAATGAATGAACTTGAGAAAGTTCAGCAAGGCTTTATCTTGTTTTAGTGTACATTCAACACAAGAGGGATTTGCTTCCCTAAATGTTTAGATGTAAGTGACTTTTAACATGAGAAATG